ATCTGCCATAGAGATTTCTGAGTCAGTCAGGCTTTAATAAAGTAGCAATCCGCTACAATGGTTTGAATAAAAGTAAATTTATTTACACCTCTTTTTTCACAGCATACTTTTAGAAACATGAAAGTTGGCTTTAAGTAGTGTTTCATTTTGGTTAGAAATTTACTGTGATGCCCACAAAATCTCTCAGAGTTCTTTAAAATAGATCTCATCTAAATATATAGCTTAGAACATTCGTAATTTTAAAGCGGTAATCTTTTAACACCAAACGTACTAGTTGTGGTTAGTTTCCTTTAAATTTAAAGCAAATTGTTTACTAGGTTTATTGTTTACGGTGTTTGCCTTTTTGTGATTTATTTTTTGTTTTATTACAATGCAATCCCGTGTCACTTGAGCTAGATTTACAACCGGAGATTAGAGAGACTTATTTTTGGGCGAAATTCTGCTTTTGATGGGTGCGAAATGAAACAATTTATCCTCAGATTTTGAGAAAACATCCCCTATTTTTGTGGATAAGCTCTCAAATACTTTGTAAAGAATTGAAATGAAACCCACTTTCTGTTGAGAAGCATAAGGGTTTTGCTTTTTGATCTTAAATCGTCCGCGATGGGGTGGGGGAGTGCGTGGTTGTACCTATCATAGCATAAATAAGCCTCCAGAATAGTTAGAGTTGTCAAAAAGTCAACGTTGATTCGTAAAAGCTGCAATGCTAGGCCTTGCTCCAAAATTATGCAAGCCAGAATGAAGATTTGAGCTGATTTAATGAATTAGTAGCAGTAACTTGTTTCCATTATTTTTTAAACATACGTTGCCATCGTGTGGCAACAAGTTGATCAATGAACTAAAAGGTAGAGTAAAGGCATTAACTAGGAAAATTTCGCTAGTGAAGTGCAACACAGCAAGTCAGTTCAGTTCTGCACAGGTTTGATCGAGACACAACACGATGAAGTAAACTTGTACCGATAATTGCATGTTTTAAGATTGCATATTACAATCACATAGCTAATGGTTGTTCATTTATAATAAGGAGTAATGGTTTCTGATCTATTTATTGCTATATTCAGTGGAAACAACTGAACAAGACTGTCAATAAGTTTAGATCCAAGAATGTCAACTATGCGTTTGAAATGCTTCAAGCAATATAGTGGGAGGAGGGGGGGGGGGAGGGAAGGGTGTAGATTCAGCTTTTATTTACAATTTCTGCCTTAATTAAAACCAATAGCTGTTGGGAAAATTAGCTATAACCGCGTTTGCACTTTAATTGGACTTACCTGTTGTTTTTATTATTCTTTCACCGCGTACGCATTCTCTATTTAAACTCAAAACAATTGCAAATTGTGTTTATTTGCAGAAGTGGGAAGAAATGGTAAGCGCTTTCACCCCCCATCTTTTCACTCACCTACCACCCTAATAGGTTGAAAAATTAACACCGGAACAAATTGCCGAGTTTAGGGAATCATTCCAACTCTTTGATAAGAATGGTGATGGTGTCATTTCAATGGCAGAGCTAGGATCAGTGATGAGATCGGTGGGACAATATGCCACAGATGAGGAATTGAAAAAGATGATAAAAGAGGTGGATACTGATGGTATATTGATTACATTTGAGTGTGTAGTTAATTCCGTTTATTTGTAGGCAATGGCCTTATTGATTTCAATGAATTTATTGGTCTAATGACAATGAGGGCGATAAAGTCGAGCAGTGAGGATAGCCTTATGCCAGCTTTTAGGGTATTTGATAGGGATGGAAATGGTTACATCACCCTTTCTGAACTACGGTAAGCAAATCTTTCTTAGTTAATAAAATGTGATTTTAGTCTAGCGATGAGGAATCTAGGAGAGAACTTGACTGTTGAACAGGTTGAGGAAATGATTCGTGAGGCCGATGTGGACGGAGATGGTCAGATAGACTATCAGGGTAAGTTTGGATTTGAAAGTCGATGTTCATCATTTTTCTCTATTCCGATCCTTCTTCACTGCTATTTTTTCCATCTAGAATTTGTCAGAATGATGGTGGGTCACTGATCTCGTCAATTTTCTGTAACTGTTTATTTATTTCCCTTGATCGAAAAAGCAGGTTAATAAAGTCTTGTTTCCACTTCGAAGTCATACTTGTATCGTTTAAATATTTGTCCATTTGTTACATGCATCCTTATCCTTAGTAATCTCTATGGCAGGGCCTCTGAAGTAATCTAAGCAACCTCAATGATATGGAGGAAACAGGGTTTGTCGAGGAATACATTTACTAGGACTGTGTTGTGTTGACCTGTGGCTTAATCATTAAGTACCATTTTGGGTACGCTGACCCTGTAATGACTATTGTTTACTGATTGGTCGAATGGTCACCTCACTCGTGACCTAATTTGCTCCTTAACGAGATCAGCAATACGCAACTGTTCGAGAATGTTCGAGCGCGTATGCTATTACTCAATCTAATTGCGCAATCCACAATAACCCCCTCCCCCTCCAACCCAGGAAGCTAAAAGTTAGTGAAAATGAAACGATCGATAATTAGTTACTGTACATAATCGATCGGTCTTAAGGGAATGGTAGCCATTCGATCGTAACGTACGCAAGAAACTTCGAGTCGAGATATACCAGGTTTTATATCGTAGAAAGTGGGGGTGTGCGATAGACTTACCTCCACTTAGTACACCCTGGGCAACGTATACTCATACGGCAAAAAAAGTCTATTAACTGACAGTTGACTTCTGCCTTTAAACTACCATAACCCCAATGTAGACAGTTGACTTCTGCCTTTAAACTACCATAACCCCAATGTATGTCATATTCGACTTCTTCAACAGTACTTACCTCACCTTTTTCTACCTTTTCTACCTTCGTCTTTGAAAACTCTTCTGTTCCCCCCCCCCCTCTCTCGACTTTCTTTCACTTTGATGTTCCTTCCCCTTTGTGAAGTCTGAAGTCAACTAAAGGGCTAATGATAACCATCAAAATGCCTGCAATTTGATATAAATAAATAAATATCGTGTAAAGTTGTGAAAGTAAATGGCAATCGACTGCATTAGCCTTCTTATTAATTAACTAAATCAAACTAAATAATCAATTGTTATAAATCTAATATATCCAATTCAATTAGTAGATTGGAATTGTGATTTTCTCCAACTAAACTCCAAGAAGCAATGGCCATCGATGTTTAGTTACCATTAAGCTACCGATTCTTTTAGGGGATAATATTGGCAAAAAATACAGAAATATCTGCATATTAATAAAATATTAAGACATTTCTTTTGTTTTGTTTAAAAATAAAAGCTAAATTTTATTATTACTGGAATTAAAACAGAATAAGTGCTGGCATATTGCATAACAGTCACAGATTTTGATTTTCAGCAAACAGTGACGTTTTCGTTAAATCCCATTTAATAAATCCTTTCAATTTAGATTAAAATGAAATTTTTGTCATTTTGCCATAGAGAAGGACACTGTTTAGTTAATAAAAGAGTCGGAACGGCAGCAGAAAAAAACCCAAAATACCAACTTTAGCCTTTTGGATAATTTGGGTACCTTCATAGGAAATTACTGATATTCCCTTAAAAAACGTAACCAACGAAGCGATTTTCATCCCCAAATTCAAAGAACGAGAATTTCGCCGACAGATTTGATCAATTTAGAAGCTGGCAAGGTTGTCCACACTTTCTTGTCCACTACGAGGTAAAGTCGAATTGAAGTTGACTAAGTTACAAACTACTTAAATTAAATATACAATGCTACAGTTATTTATATCGAATGGGAGGCGTTTTAATAGTTATCAGTAACCCTTTAGTTGACTTCAGGCTTCACAGATGTAGAAGGAACATCAAAGTGAAAAAATGTCTAGATGAGGGGGGGGGGGAGAACAGAAGAATGTTTCAAAGATGTAAAAGAGTCAGATACAAAGGTCAAGAGTAGGGTAAGACGAGTAATGTGGAAGTGGTGGAATATGACACAGAGTGGGGCCATGGTAGTTTGAAGTCAGAAGTCAACTGCCGGTTTATAGACTTTTTCCCGTATGCGTATACGTTGCCTGAGGTGTACCACATGGAGATAATTCTACCGCACACCACATCCTATAATTATAATCTAATATATTCAGTTAATGTCCTTTAGCCATTTATTTTCGATTTTTTATCTTACCCGAATGTTACAATTAGCGAATTGTTCAGCTTTTTGTCTGATGGTATTTACGACTTATCCGCTAAAAATTTAGTCAATTTAATTTAAAAGTATTTTCAGAATAAAATTAATAATAGAAGCAGAGAGTTACATTTTCGTTTCTTATTTTCCCTCTGCACTGCGTGGGCAAGCCATGCTTGACCTACTAACCATGCAGAGATCTAGAATTTTCAGGGCATAAAAATTATAATATACTTTTCAGTGAACATGTTCTTTTAAATCCGCACAGAACAAATGATGCATATTTCTTAATAATTAAATGTTAAACAAATTTTTCACATTTAAGAAAGCTATAAATAAGAGCTTAATCAATTGCAATATTCGCCTTTTTGCTTTCCAGTGATTCTATCGCTCTTTAATCATCCAAATTCTAATCACAGACTTCCCAAATTATTATTTTCTACACTGGGGTGTGCGATAGACTTACCTCCACGTGGTGCACCCTGGGCAATGTATACTTATACGGCAAAAAAGTCTATTGACCGGCAGTTGACTTCTGACTTCAAACTACCACAACCCCACTATATGCAATATTCGACTACTTTCGCAGTACTCACCTCACCTTTTTTCTACCATTGTGTCTATCTCTCTCTTTTACATCTTTGAAACACTCTTCTGATCCCTCCCCTTCTCGACTTTTTCACATTGATGTTCCTCCTCTGTGAAACCCGAAGTCTGCTAAAGAGCTAATGATAATAATCAAATCGCCTGCCATTTGAAAGTTATTTTCTACACTGTAACTGCTATTCTTAAAACTCCAAGTAATTATTCGCTGACTACAGGGCTCACAAGAAGCTTAAAGGAAAAGTTTTCATTATAAAAAATGACTTAAAGTAATATTGACTTCGATCCAATACAATTTGTAAGAGCGGACTGAATTATACCAATAATTTACTAAGGATAAGGTGAATAGAAAATTTTATGGGAATTATTTAAGATAACTTCCGCAGAGAACCAATGACAGTTTTGTTCCAACTAACTGTTTTGGTGACAGGAATGGCGCAAAATCATTTACTGCTGGGAATATCAGAGAAATCTTTTAACCATTTATCATTGTATTCATTGAAAATAAGAGTAACAATAAGTTTATCTTATTGGAGATTTGCAGTGTTTCTTTAAAGAGTGGAAGAATTAAATTTCAGGCTGATTCTGTTCGCAAATAACTATCAGTGATAGGAATATGCTTATTAACTGCAATATCGTAAACTGTATGAATAGCTTCAATTCCATCAAACTTTGCAGTTCAAAAATTGCTCTTTTACCTTCCAATTTCAGATAACATAACATGAAAGCAAGAAACTTCATTACTAATTTTAGTCGTTTTAATACATAATTGAGTGTTTCTTTCTATTTTATCTCTCCTCTACCTGTCACGGAAACATTATCTTGGTGAATTCTAGAAGGAAAAAAAAGATAATGAAATAGGATCACCACTTGTGTACTACTGAAATATTTAAGTAACAACAACATACCATCGTAATTTATGCGCCCATCACAGTCCTTGTCAATGTTTCGAATCATTTCTTCAAGTTGGTCTTCTTGCAATTTTTCACCTAGAGCCGTTAACACTTGACTTATGAATAACGAAAATGTTTCACGACCTACCGTAATTCTGACTTTGTGATAAAGCCATTCTTATCTTTGTCGAATAGACGAAAAATGTTCAAGAGCTTAACCTTATCCTCAGCAACATTGACGCTATTAACTACCATATTGATAAATTCTTTGAAGTCAATAGCTCCGTCACCATTAACATCACCTTCTTTCATCATTTCCAAAAGCTCTTTCTTCGACAGATTTACTCCAAGAGATTGCATAAAATTTTCGAGTTCATCTATTGTAATAAGTCCATCTTGATTCCTATCAAACAAGGTGAAAGTTTCAAAATATTCTAAAAGTTGGTCAGTGGTGAGTTGATCAGCCTGCAGAATGGAAATATTCGTCTGGGTTAGTAGCAAAAATACCAACAGATGCAAAATTAGGCTAACCATCTATTTGAATTCAGAAATGCGATTACTTTAATATAAGTGAATGATTTCAGTGCATTTTGGAAACGTGCTTAAATTCTTGCGATAAATGGCATGATCTATCTCACCCATGCTAACTTATATTTATCACGTTAATTTAGACTGATGTTTTAAATATCACTTTTTTGAGTGTGACTCCAAGTCTACTTTATGGAAGGTGAGAGTTAAATTTTATAGATCAATAAAATTTAATGAAGAAGCCCCACCCCCATCTCACTTTCAATAAGATTACAATAGTCTTGAAGGTAGATCAGGATGTGCAAAAGCGTACAAGAATGAGAGGAAATGTCCACTGTAGGATAATGAATACTTCTTTTCAATAGCAATATGTCAGTCCGCGCTTCTCATTGGCTTATTCGATGCCCATATTGATTTTCTCGCAAGTATTGCCTACATAGAAATCTTCAATAGAGGCTTGTTTGAATCTCAGCGTATCTTTAAATCTGAAATCTCCCGTTAATAACAACATCTTCCTTCCATTCCTTACGTCCTCGAATAAACTTTTAGGGCTCAGAGTATTTTACATTCAGTTTCTGTTCAAACGGTCTTTGTTGCCAGCCTCCTAAATTGTTCTTGAAGAAGTTTCCTGATATTTAACAGAAATGTGAATTTTTCATCTCATTCGTCTTCTGAAATAATGGTTGGTGAGACCAGTGAATACATATGCTTCCGCTGAATATAGGTAGAAATTACAGGATTTTTTTATTAAATAAATCAAGTTAATTTTATAGCTAGTTGAAGAACACACTATTCTAACACTGCAGCACAGGTTTTAGAGAGCTGAAATTTGAAATAGACTCACAACGTACTCACAGTACATTCATTTTGTTTTTTACGCTATTCTTCATTTTTGTTCATTTATTTCAAATGGCTGGCGTTTTGATAGCTATCATTAGCCCTTTAGTTGACTTCGGGCTTCAAAGAGGGAAGGGTCATCAAAGTAGCAGAAAGTCGAGGAAAGGGAGCAGAAGAGCGATTCACAGATGTAAAAGAGGCAGACAGACACAAAGGTAGCTCTATGTGAGAGCTCACGGGTCGATTCCTTTTATTGTAATTCAGGGAGTGGTTTTGGAAATTTTGATCCTTTTATCTTCCAATCACATTCGCCTCACCAGTGACTCTCTCAATTTTCTTTGTGTCTATACGTATTTACTCGCAAATTATTATTATAACTTCAAACGGCAGGCATTTTGAATAGCTATCATTAACCATTTAGCTGACTTCGGGCTTCACAGAGGGAGGAACATCAAAGTGAGAAAAATTCGAGAGGGGGAGCAAAAGAGTGATTCACAGATGTAGAAGAGACAGACAGACACAAAGGTAGGGACAGAGGTGAGGTAAATACTGGGGAAGTTGTGGAATATGACATACAGTGGGGTGATGGTAGTTTGAAGTCAGAAGTCTCCCTCCCTACCCCCCTCCCCCGAAATATACTACCTTGAACGTTGACTTAACTATTACCTTTTCCGCTGATTTCCTCCATTTATATTACTCTCCGATCTAATCCATCTATGTACCTATTCTATCATCACAACAGATGAAGTCATTTGAATCCACACTGAACCGTCACCACTTCGGTTAAATGTTTCAGGTGATTTTACTTCATTATGAGGTGTGCGATATATTTTACCTCCACTTGGTGCACCCTGGGCAACGTATACTCATACGGCAAAAGGGTCTTTAAACTGGCACTTGATTTCTGACTTCAAATTACCATGACCCCACTGTATGTCATATTCCTCCACTTCCACAGTTCTCATCTTATCTCACCTTTTATCTACTTTTGCATTAGTCTCTTTTACAACTCTAAATCACTCTTTTCCCCCTCTCCACTTTTTGGACTTTTATGTTCCTCCCACACCCTGTGAAGCCCGAAGTTAACCAAATGGCTACTGATGACTACCATAGATCCTCCCCATGCCATTACAAATCATATTTGACGGCTTCTATGAGAAGCGAATGTCAGTAGAATTTGTAAACATTTATATTTATTCCAAATTGCAAACATTTTTGTAGTTATCATTAGCCCTTTAGCTGATTTCAGACTTCGCAGAGAGGAGGAGGAACGTCAAAGTAACAGAAAGTAGAGGGTTGGGGAACAGAAGAGTGTTTCACAGATGTAAAAGAGAGAGGCAAAGGCAGTGAAGGTAAGATGAGTACTATGAAGTAGTAAAATATGACATACATTGGGGTGAGGGTAGTTTGAAGTCAGAAGTCAACTGCCAGTTTATGGATCTTTTGCGTATGAGTATATGTTATCCAGGGTGCATCATGTGAAAGTAAGTCTGTCGCACACCCCAGTTTGCAAATGTTTTGGATGATAAACAGGCCATTTACATAAATAAATCCATACCTTAATAAAATTGCATCTTCAAAATATAATTCACAAATATCTTGGTAAGTTTTAACTTTTCAAAATTTGATTTTGAAATTCCCAATTATCCTTACTGCCAAGTACTTACAAAGTACTTCATAACAGTATGCTATCGTTGTGTAAAGCTTGTGATTAGGCGATCAGTAAACAACTTTAAGTAGTCAGATACCTTTGACAAACATTCATCTGTTTTGATGCAATGGTAAAATATATGATCTTAGCCGAGATGTGTCTTTTTTTTCACTATTGGATCTAACTGTCTCTCTTGACTTTAAGCGATACAAATTAACTGAAGAACAAAACCGGGTACTCAAGGAAGCCTTCTCGATTCTCGATAAGAATGGTAGCGGAACTATTACTGCCACAGATTTGGAAATAGTGATGGCGACTTTGGGTATAACTCCCACTAAAAGTGAACTTCATGATATGATTAATGAAGTGGATACAGATGGTTGGACTAGAATTTCGGGATAACAATTAAGAAATTTAGGAAATGGTACCATTGATATTTCTGAATTTCAAGCTTTGATGGCCACCAGGATGAGAGAAGTCCCTGACGATAAAGATGAAATTCGCGAAGTCTTTCAACTATTCGATATAGATAATAATGGATATATTTCAAATTCCGAATTAAGGTAAGTGGCACCTTTAGAGGTAAAGAAGTAACATAGGAGGGTCATGTTGAGCCTTGGGGAAAATCTCAATAATGAAGAAATCCAGGAGATGCTACGTGAGGCAGATATGGATGGCGATGGAAAAGTGAGTTATGAGGGTATGTCGAGTTGAACATTGTTATAGATATTCTTTTCAAATTCACGCACTTTGTACTCATAAATTTCTATTTTATGAAACAATCCATCAAGATTTTGCAAATTTGGTTTCAAAGTACGATTAAGTTCGAATGTGCTTGATCATAATCTGTGGACATGAAAATTATATTCACTGTACTAAACTGTAATAACAATGTTTGCAACCTCACAGCTCTATCCTTAAATTTTTTGTCTATTGTTAGTAGTGAAGTATTAAGTGTCTCCAAGAAGCTTTTTTTGTTATTTTTGCTATTTTACGCAAAATACACAAAAAAATTTGCTGACATTTGTGAATAACCAACAAATGAAGCAGTCACAATATAATTAACATTCAAATAGTCACACACAACCGTGGTCAATTAAAACACGCGAAGGACTTGAAAAGTTATAAAAAAGCAATGACACTACAACTTTGATCATATTTTAATATGCTTATTCCAATTTCTTTTAGGTAGATACTGTTCATTTTTTTCGAACCTTCCTGTCCATGTGTTCGATCATTGAACCAGCTTAAAATCTTTCCCATTGGGTTCTGAATTATCCTAAGTAAAAATTTGGTCAGTGATTGTATCTGATTCCCAATATTTCTGTTTCCTGGGGTATAGGTAAGCTTATGTTGATTCCTTCTTGATTCTAACGATGCGGTTGCTCTATGCGAAAGGAAATATATCAGATAGCAGAACCCCCTCCCCCCCCCCCCCCCCCCCCCCCCCCCCCCTCCCTCCCTTCGACACCACGATGAGGTGTTATCTGGTATAAAATTACGAGGAATCGATGATCTCTTCTACTCTCTTCTCCCTATGCTACAGGGAAAGCTGCTTGTATAATGCTCTCTAGTTGTTCATCCAGACTACTAAGATTATGCAGAGAGTGTGGAAGAGAGGTGTTTACTTCGAAACAAAAGAAAGAGAAGAGAATTGGATGGCATTCTACGTGCCTTGAATGGCGTAAACATAGCGAATCTGTTGCAGGCCATACCGGTTGCGTATTTGGAATTTGAATCAGTAAGATTAGATAAATGGTGCTAGGATAGGCTCAGAAAAACTGATACCACGGCGAAACCACATAGGCTAAGCTCGAAAGTGCATAAGATGCTGATTATACTAGAATGCAGCCCCGGCTGACTCAGTTTCATTTGTGAGAGAATCAGGTTTAGCAAGACCACTGCGCTCTCAGTCTCTTCATCCGATAGAGCTAATCACTTGAATGTATTAGTATTGACAAAGGCATTATTGCAAATTCATCTTCGTATACGATGCATGTGCACTTACGGAGCGTAAAGAATAAAGACTTACTTTGTGTCCATTTAGATGGAATATTTGATTTATAGGGTAATTATCACTGACTGATGCTTGGATATGACTGGCTCGGCGACTATTCGTGTCGCTATGATTGTAATCGTGTGTTGCTTTTCACTCACTCTGTCCAATGGGTACTATCTCGTACCATCTACAGCCACTTGAATATGAGTTTCAATTTGAAGTAACTTAGAACTGGTAGATACAACTAGAGATTGAGAGGAATTTCCGCTATAATTAAGGTTAGTACAGCTTAAATTTTGGCGACAGAAGAAAAATATACTGCATTAGTGTGTGACCAGAATTATTTCGACTAAATACTCTGAAAAAATTCCATAATTTGAGAAACAGATTAGAAGGGAAAGAAGACCAAGTGGAAATCCAGTTTCATATTTAAATTTTCTCAATCTCCGATCTTCTACATAAAATATCAAGTAATTTCGAATTTTTTCGGATACCTTATATAAATTTCATTCTGCAAACTTTAAATTACTTTGCCGCATTTAAGTATTTCATTTCAATTAATTTATAATCGACTATTATTTTCAAAGATGGTTATGATTTATATTATTTTGGTGAGAAATGTTCTATGGGATGTTATACGTAATTCCTAATAAAATTTATCAAAATGTGAAACTCATGAATGTGTTCATATAGTGAAAGAATTTAGAGTCAAAAATCGTGAATCTTCAAAATGAATGCAGCAAAATATTCCTGATTCATTGGAAATAAGGCAAAGCATACCCGAAATATTACCCAAAAATAGTGTGATATTATTTAAGGTTCAATTTATTCCTTTTGAATAAGGAAAGTGTGATAATTAAATGATATAGATTAGGTGTTCAGATCACGAAATTCATTTAATGGAATTTTGTATTTTATCTATTACTGTGTAGTATATTCTTCACTTCGAAAAATTTTTGTTGAACTATTCTTATTTCTAACGGTTAATTACTTGAGTTTTCTTATTTAAGTGTTTCTGGCAAAGACAAAATTTGTCAATAAAATGAACATTGTAAATCCTTTCAATTCTCTTGGGCATGCCATTATAATATTAATTTATATAAAATTCCAGGTGTTATGATAGTAATCAATAGCTCTTTATCTGACTTCGGGCTTCATAGAGGGCAGGAACATCAAGGTGAGAAAAATTCAAGAGGGAGAACTGAAGAGTAATTCACAGATTAAAAAAGGACAAGCAAAAAAGGTAAAGAAAAATATAAGGTAAGGTGAGTATTGTAGAAGTGCTTGAATATGACATACAGTGGGGTCATGTTAATTTGAAGTCAGTAGTCAACTGCCAGCTTATAGACTACTTTGTCGTATGAGTATGGGTTGCCCAGGGTGGGCCGCGCCATTATAAATTTAAATTTCAATCGGCATATGAATCAGTATTAAATGGACGTAATTTCACGATATAAAAAAATAATAGATAAATTGTAAAGCCAACCATGGAGATGAATCCCGAATTTTGTACTATGAAATTAAGGACGTGATGCATGAGAGTTATCAATTGAGTAAATGTTCAAAAACAATGTAAACCCATTTTCGATCATACATATCTCTTTGAATGTGTTGACCCTATATTATAGACCTCAAAGTGTTAATAGAGTATTATTACACTGATTAGCCTTGACTATATTCAACATTTTCAATGGCAAGTTTTCCTAGTTGGGTAGTTGTAGGCGTTATTCAAAATTGTTAACATTATTAGTCACAAACAATAATATAAAATAAAAAAATTGATGGAATTAAGCTATTTGTTCAGGATAATAGCAAAGTAAACGCATGGAAGGAAGAAACGATAACATTGAATGTAAAAAGATTTATTAAAACATAGTACCATACGAGTAAACCTACGATTATCCTTTATATTTATAAAGATGAGCATTTTCGTAGTATCTTTTATTTTATGGAGAATGTAAGACTTAAGGCGTTGGAACAACTAGCTCTAAAAAACAAGTATTCTACAAATTCATTCAATACCCAAGAGAAAACAACGTTTCGTTACGGGTGGAGCTTTTTAAGGCAACAACGATGTGACTAAATCATAATCTGAATTATTTAATGTATCTTATTGTACCCCATGAACAGGCTACCGATTTAAATTTTTACTTGTACAACCACAGTCAAAAAAAATTAATGTCCGAAATCACAGTCCTCTAACTATGGCCACCTATAAGTTTTTTAACATATTAATTGTTTTAGTGAATGCTGCACGTATTATATTACATTCTTATAATGACAACATGCTTATTTTAAAAGCTAAGAGTTTAAAACTAATGTGTTTTAAGTGTCAAGAGACAGCCGCTTCTTTTAAGTTGATCTTAATTATCGACGGTGAAGGTCAGCTGGCTATAAAACTTCAATTATATTTTCGAATTTGGTTGTAATATTTTAAGGCTTGTTTCTTCATGATTAGTTTTTATACTACTTATTACTGTTTTTCTGTTTTTTCTTATTATTTTTTCCGTTTTGCTTTACATTTTTATTTAATTTATTTATTGATGTTTATCATTTTCAGCAATACTGAACTAAATTATGTCTGACTTTGAAGATTCTTCTTCCCTTGATGAAATTGACGATGGCTTCTACAGGTGTCTTATCTTTATTTTACCTGACTACCTTTTGATCTTATAGCCGCCAACGTTATGTCATAGGCGATGAAGCGATGTGTCGACTTTCAGACTCAACCGTTCTCATTTGTGGTCTTTGTGGTGTTGGTGTTGAAATCGGTTTGGATAATCGTTTATTCTTTAATTTAAACTCACTCCTTAGCCAAAAATCTTGTCCTTGCTGGCGTCAACCGCCTGATTCTTGATGACTCTACCGTTTGTACCACCGATGATTTAGCTACTCAATTCTATATTCGACCTGAAAATATTAAAAGAGGAGACACAAGAGCTAAGTCTAGCCTTTCGTACCTTTCCGACCTCAATCCTTATGTTAGCGTTGTTCTCTCGAATTGTCCATTAACCGACTCAAACGTTGACGTTTCAGACGTACTCAAGAACAGATTTCCGGATGGCATAACAGTAAAACCTACTATATGAAATTTAAATTCTTTTCAGTGCGTTGTTGTAACCGATTGTAATCTCATCTTTGCTGCACTTTTGAACAACTACTGTAGACAGCGCAATATCAAGGTAGATTTATTCGATTTGCTTAATTCTTTGGTTGTTTCAGTTTGTATACACTAATACCATAGGGGTCTTTGGGAATATTTTTTGTGATTTTGGTGAGAATATTCATTATGGACCTCCTGATGAAGAGCCTCCAGTGAATTTTTTCATTGATCATATTGAGAATGTAAGTCATTTTCATTTTTTTTTGCTTTAACAAGTATGTCGGTCTGGGCTATTTTATCGTACATACAGTTAATTTCAGAAGCTTATTTCTCAACTCAGTTAAATAGCATGTCTTTTATGTTTCGTGGTTATTCACTTGTGTTGTTTTGATATAGTTTTAAATTATCTTTTATGGCCCAATTAGCTTTTCGGAAATCACCTGAATTCAGAATTTAGATCAATGTCCAAGTAATGATATAACAATTCATAATTAGCTAACAATGTATTGCCAAATTTCGGTTCTGCTAATTTCAATGATGTCTTTCATTTGGTTCTAGTTCATTGGGAAAGTTCATCAGTTAATTTTAAACTTCAGTTTTTAAAAGCAAATTAAGTTAGTTAGATTAACTTTTCATAACTCACATGCATGTCATTTTCGCGAATTTCCATAACTTTTAACATTGAAGAAAATTTCATCTTTTGTGAAGTCACAGCTTAGTTAGGACAATTAATGAAGTAAGTAAAATGTAAACACTAGAGCGATTTTTGCTTTCTTAACCAATATTACTTTAAATGAGAATGGCTTGAAATATTTGATTGGAGAACAGACCATTTGAAATACTCTACACTTTGTTTGCTCTACAAAGTTCACGCATTCAATGAACAAATTGTGTGAAAATGGAAAGGATCTTTTTGTTCTTAATATTTATGTGGTAGTTTAATTTTGTCTGTAGTTGCTTTGGCGTGTTAACACTGTCAACTGTTAAGGAAATTAGGTTCCATCACCTCATTTCAACCACTCTTAATCTCGCGAATTCTAAATGTGCATTTCAAACCAAATTCAGCCTCAGCTCTGTTGGTAATCTTATCGGAAGTTAGGTTTTTTCCCTTTCATCAAGTGGAGCGAAATGTTTATTAGCAATCAAGACCTTCTTCAACTCTACTATCCTAGGTACCTTTGAGTCCCTTAAGATTCAATGTAAGTTGATTTTTTTTTGGTCTTTATTAATTGAAGAAATTTGGATACGTCTTGGCTTTTTTTATTAAAAAAGACGGGTATTTGCACACTTCGAATGTCGTTCCGTAATCATATAAGTTAAAAATCAATTATGATTCCTTTGAAATTATTTGAAACTCTACAAGTGTTTGTGGAATTCAGTTAGGGCATCTTTGCTAGCACCCTCGATATAGCAATTTAAATCCAACTTCGAAGGTATTTAAACCATCCGGTTCTATATTTTCATTCTCATTCTCCAAACACAGGCCGAAAAGCCGAAGCTACTGATCAAGGGCTCAGACCAACACAAACTAGCCGATGGAAGTTTCATCACTCTTCATGAAATCAGCGGAATGACCGAATTGAATGGGATGACTGTTCAAGTTAAGGGTAGGTTTCCTTCATATCCTTAATTTTTCCAACATCTTGCCTTAGAAATCTCTCCGAGAATTCTTGAATTGAATGTTGACACTCGCAACTTTGGCGTTTTTACGGGTAATGGAATAGCAACTGAAGTGAAAGTCTCACCCCCTATGTCTCATGTAAATGCAATCTGCAATGTATTATATGTTGTCCTGAAAGACCTTAACTGAGGGCTTATTTCCGGTGTTGTTTCAGCTTCCATTGGCCATGCAATTGGAAAATCCGAAGCTCTGTACTGTTGATCTCGTTGACCCCGAGGTAAATGACTAATTCCATCTTAAATTTAATTGCAAATGTAAGGCTTTATTGGCCATAAGATAATATAATTAAGACAATGGAGATTATTTCAAGCTGGTTGTTGTTTTTTCATGGGCAGAATAACATGCTAAATCATTGTATAGGCACTGGAGAAGCATTATCGATCGATTGGAAATCGATATTGGCACCGCTGCATAGGTATTTATCAATTACTCATCTGAGTAATCAACGAATTTTGAAAACCGGTCAAGAAATTTTACTGTCTCGTTGATTGTCATGCCTAGCAATCGATCGATCAGTCCACCGCTCAATTGCGCAGCAATCTGATTTAAAACGACTTTATCGGCTAATTTAGTTTATTTTCCTGATATTTTGTCTCTTTTATTTTAGTCTTCCCTTCAGCTGCATATAGCCTTTGTTGCGTTGATGATGTTCTTCTGTAAAGAAAAACGACTTCCAAGAGCTTGGTGAGTTTGTCTCTAATTTATTGATTTTCGGGGTGTCCTTTTAATTGCTGTATTGTCTTCTTATCTGTTGAAGGTGTAAAAGGGACCTCAATCTGTGTCATCAAATTGCTCGTCGATTCGCACCACCAAATACAAATGTGTGTTGTGGTTTTGATCTTTTTTTACTTCCTCATATTCGTGTTAGCTCTTGCTCAAATTAGCACTCAATGGCTGTCTGTTACACTTATTTTGCTCAATCTGTCGTTTGCTATCTTTGAATTGTCCTCTACCTTTCATTTCTTTTGTTCGAAATTCATGCACCTTAAAATATACCCTACAGATTGATGCCAAACGCCTTTCAAAAATATATGCAACTGCTCAAGGTCAAGTTCCTCCTCTCTGCTCATTTTTCGGCGGATTAGCTGCTCAAGAAGTCATTAAAGCTGTGACCTGTCGATTCACACCGCTTAACCAATGGGTGAGCTACCTTCAACACAAATCTGTGACGATTCCGTCCATGCCATTATTCATATCTCATCTTCCTCTACGTTTCAGTTGTATCTTGGTGTTGATTGCCTGGTGCCTGAAAAAAATAGAAATTCCTCCCTTCTTTTACCTGCAAGGTATTTAATCTCTTGATGTTCATATTTGATCCTAACATTTTACCAATGAAAATCCCCCTTCTACTTAATATATTTCAGTAGTCGTTATCGGCCTCTAGTTGCTTGTATTGGATCTGATAATATGGAAAAACTCTCCATGGCCAACGCTCTTATGGTGGGTCAGGAGTTTTTCGCTTTTAATATATGATATTACGAACTGCATGTAGTATTTTTTTCTACTTTTCGATAGGTTGGTTGCGGTGCCATAGGCTGTGAATTATTGAAGAATCTGGCTCTCATTGGCTTCGCCGGGGGTGATTTCCACCAATCAGCCCTTTACTCAAATTCATCTAACTCTGTGCCCAATGGGGATGCAGCAACTTTCTCGACGTTATCGACAAGCGATTCTGAGGACTCTTTTGATGTTGTTGATGTTGAAGACTTCAGGGACGATGACACAAGTCCATTTTTCTTCCCCGATACGCATTACTTGGCTCTTGAATTAATGCGTCTGGGACAAGGTGAAGACGCCTTCACACTTAACCAAGGTGATGTGTTACTGGAACCGCGTTTGGAAGCGAATTTCAATGAAGCAGGTACATTTTTGCTCACAAAACTACGAATATTTTAAAGGCATTCTATGCGTATTTCGAATAAGGAATTCTGAACATCGTTACTTAACTACAATTTCCGAAGATGTATCATGTTTCTTCTATTTAGCTGGTTATTTGAAAGGTTGATCATGGGATTTTGATGTGAATCGATGCTTTCTTTTGAATTTATATTTCCGTTTATTAATGAAGGCAATACACATTTAAGAACTATTGGGTCATTTTTCTGCATTTCTGAGGTTGAAAGGAAATAGCTTGAGAAATGAAGGAGGGGAGGAGTTGGTTTGCAGGATGTTAGAGTTTTTCTCCTCATCTTAAAAGAAAATATGTTATTGCTTTGCCAAAAGATTTCTTAAAGAATCTCATCGTGAATTTGACGTCGACGTTGTGGCCGAGTTTTTTACAAGTAACATTTCAGCCAACCTTGTCTTCTACAAGACTGGAAATCGGGAGCTGTTCTGAGGGGAGGGGAGGGGAGGGCAAAGTTCCCGTCAATAGGACATGAGCATTGAGTGACCCACTGTTTTCGATAAAATCTCCTCAATATGGAGACTATGACTATAACAACCCGGTTAAAACAAATTTCCAACTGATGTCTTGATCCATTTGACAATATAAATTGCTTAGTTATAACTTTGTCTAGTTGGTTGAAAAAGTATCTTTAGGTTAGGTTGAGTTGTCAGGTATTTCCCTGCAAGTACTGGTGTCAGGGTTGGTTGTGTTACATTCCATCCTTTTCATAAAATTGATTTAGCTAATCCTTTTTTCTTCAAAATCTTGTTGAAATGTATATGCAATGCCAGCCACTTCTCCTGAATCTTCATTTCGTTCTCTGATTTTGTTCTTCTATATCGTAAAGAATTATTTTTGCATATGTGAATTACTCATGTCTTAATTTCTATGCAGTATTGACATTTTCAAATTATATTTTAGAATATTAATATTGGCTCAAAATGCACCCTTGAAAATGCAAAAACCACTGCGTTAGGTAACCCATTGTAATCCATCTCACGTGTCGAATCGATGAACGAATCGTCTTAATGGAATATGAGCTCGGTTACTTTGTCTTCCTAGTAAAAATAACACTTTTGTTAATTACTATATTATTCTCTTAGTTCCAATGGCAGGTCAAGTTGGTGCCTTCAATTTTAAATCCACAGACACTGATCTGACTTTGATGTGCACCACGTTAACTAGACTTAAGTAAAACGCATACATTTTATCAAGTATATACGATTACTGTCAGCTTTCAACCGCTTATCTGTTCTTTTTTCTCTGACAAAAAACCAACATTTCCTCATGTTTTCTTCATAAATAAACTCATAGTTTGCCTTAGCAATTATTTTCGTTTCCCAAATGGAGAATTTGATATTTGTGGTTTGTCATTCAATACCTTCTACTTGCGGCACGAATTTGAAATTCCGCAATACCAATTGGGCAGTTGTCAGCTCATAATCTTATTCCAATTAAAATAAATCAATTATCATGCTTACCCTATTTCCTGTGTAAATGTTGCCTATGTTTTGTTTCCTCCCTGCATGAATACCCACTTTCAATTAATGCCAGAAAAGGATGTTCAAATACATTTGTAGTTATTGTTCGGATCTGAGGTCACAAAAAGCGCTTTTTTGGAGAAGAATTGATAATAATTACTCATGGACCAATGCTATTTTGGATCATTCCACTTACTTTCTAGGATTGTCTTAACATGGCATCTCATTTCTATTTGCCTCGTGGAAATCGAAGTTCTGCGTTTACAATTTATCCTCTATGTGCGCACCTATCTGCTGTCGTTGAAGTTTCATAGAAGTACGTTTAGGTTTCCTTGATGGATTATCGTCCGATTGCAGTCCTCATTCTCCAGCACATACTTTAGTATGCTAATGAATGTGTGTAGAGAAGCAGTGTTACCCACTTTCGGTTCATTTACACTAGTACTTCATCTCTTCAGTTTGAATTTTGTCTTGGTAAATGCTAATGTAATTTTCTCATCGTCACTATTTCCAACTTCATTTTGGATGCTGCTTAGAGATTATTGGCTTATTGTTGCATTTTTTGTAGATCTACTGAGATTACCTTTCATGCTGCGATCGAGTTTAAGTATTGGAAATTTTGATTCATCCACCCCAGTTCAAGTGGAGCCCGATGCGTTCGACACAAATAGCAACTCTAGCATTCATCGCCCTTGCATTACCATCACTGATAATGATCACATCGAGAAATCTAACCTCAATCGTCAATTCCTATTTTGTCCCGAAGACGTCGGTTTGCCCAAGAGTCAAGTTGCTGCCGAGTCAATTCTCAAGTTCAATCCCGCCATGAAAGTTGTGCCCTTAACACATAAATGTAACTTCTCTCTACTTGTAATAATAAGTAGCCTTGTTGTATCAAAATTGAAAAGTAAAAATTTACCGCATTTCTTTCTCCAGTCTGCGCCGACACATCGAAAACTATATTCACTGATGAATATATCCGGGCTGCCGCTTCAGGATTTGAGATGTCAAGTCCTCCTGTTGTACTAGCTGCGCTAGATAATATTGAAGCTAGACAATATCTCGATCAACGGTGTGTGATCAATCGTCTGGCAATGTTCGATTCTGGAACTCAAGGGACAAAGGGTCATACTCAAGCTATTCTTCCTGGAATTACTGAATCTTATAGTAATCAAAGTGATCCAGGTTCCAGTGGTGTGGATGAGATTCCCTATTGTACTCTCAAGTCTTTTCCTGCAAAACCCGCTGATTGTGTTGAATGGGCTCGGGAAAAGGTGAGGTTCAGGCCCACTTTTCTATTCTTCTTAAATCCAACAAAAAACTGCACCTATAGGCACAATTTCTCTTCTTATTTATTAAGTCTAAGTACTAGAACACTTTCATCTCATTAAACGTCAAATTGTCAGAAGCGCCGTGTTGATATGGCTGCTGAGTGACATGGAGTTGCTCATCCGGAGACGAAACGTAAACTTTGCAGCTTGAGGTTTATTTGGGGCGTGCTTTCTCTAGCTTAGTTTTCTCTTTTTTAGTTTCCATTTTTGTATGAAATTGTCGGCTAATTAGTACATAATCTGAATCATTTTTATGATCGCGATAGCAAATAAACTGGCCATTTGCTTCATCCTATTGGCCAACTAAACCTGGTTTAAACATATACCGAAAGGATTGGCAAATAATGCAACAGTGTTTGTTTTCCGAGAAATCTATAATTTTAATTAAAATGGTCTTCATTTCATTATTCTAGAAACAATTCACGTGGGTCTTTTATTACTTTTCTTATGTGTGATTGAAAAAAAATTTTACTGGTCTTGGACTGCTGTGCTAGGCATTTAGTAGACAATTTTAATTGTAATTCGAAATTATATTAGTATTAACGGGCTATGATTTGTAGTCTGTTGAGAAAGAAGTTGTCTTATTCAGGCCTTTACGCATTGACCACTTTTTATCTCATATTCCTTCAGTCCAATTGGGTAACTTGTCATGTCTTTGTGTTGTTTCGGTACTTTACTATACAATATCCAACTTTTTAACTAATTTAGCATGTCAGTTGCCATGTTTTTTTTCGTCTTCTCTTCTTTCTCATTCCATTGTTTTGACACTGTCACACCTAGTACCATTACTTCTGTTTTTCTTCTGCATCACCCTCTCTCGCACGCTCAGTTCTAAACGGGCAGGCAGACCAAAGCACCACTCATTGTGTCGATGGAAATTTTACTTCTACCTCTCACAAAACATACCTACTCATATACTATTGTTACTCCTGTAAAAAGAGGGCCTTTTGTTATATCTAACTAATTGCCAAGCTCTTCTTAAGGTTGCCTTTTTCATCTCCCACTTTAATTGAACCTGCCAGACTCAACTAACGTGCTGTGTCTCACTGAATGTGCACCGCATGACTTCTGACTTCACAGATGAGTGTGCCAACGACTGTATCACTAGTGCTCTATGCAATTTTTATTTGCACTTCCTGCTTTGTTGTTACTGTTGAATTGTGTTCGGATGCTATTTTTGTGGGTGGGAGGCCTTTCCGTCTTCAAATAGGCCAGATAAAGGTGGCGACTTTCAGGAGTTTCGGGTTATAATTTTCAGCGCCTTATTCTAACTTGAAGTTTAATACCCTTTACTGTACATTTCTTTCTTTCTAGTGAAGTGGTTGATTTAGTCAATCTATCATACTTTATTTGGCTTCCTTATTTTGTTCATATATTAGTTCGATAAGTAGTTTCTAACTCATCTTGTGCATGAGAAGCGGGTAATTAAAGAGTTGAAGACTTCTGATAAATCCCTTGAATCACATGAATTTTAGCGGTCTTAATAGAGGCCTACAATGAAAGTTGTAATTTGCGTAATTCATCGAATTTGCCAAGTCAATTTTGTGGAGTGTTTTGCCCGCTCTTCAAATTCCTTCGTGAATCCCAATTTCTGTTAGTAGATTTGAATTAACAACCTGGTTAAGGAATTGGACGGACATTCGAGAATTAGGTAATTGAATTGTTTCTTGTTTGGATAAGTGTTTGAATGGAAAATCCTTAAGACTGAAGTTCCGCCCAGGGGAGGGGGGGGGTTAAAGGAAAATTCCATTTCATGAAACTATTTTTAGAACCTAATAACCGCCCACCAGAATAAGCGCCCATGAGCGCTTATTCGGATGGATGAACTTTCAGAAAACCTCGGTACTTATTAGATACGTGATTATGTTTTGTTCTCATCTTTTATTTCAGTTCTTTTCCCAATTCACTCTGAAGCCACAAAATCTCAGCTCTCTATTTGCCGATTTCGAAAACTCTTCTAGTTGCCTTCGGAGTGGCCTTGAATCCATTTTGGCCAAAGGCTTGAATGAATTCCCAAATTGCAAAATCAACGCATCAAATCTCAATTATTTAGTCAACAGGCCTCAAACATTAGAGGATTGCATTAGTTTGGCGTTGGAGAAGTTTAACAAATATTTCCGAGATAAGGTTAGGACCTTGAAAGACTCCTTCATTCGTCTAGATAGAGGACCATTCTAACTCCTTCAAATTTTACTTTTTAGGCTTTACACCTATTACATCGGTTTCCACCTGATTGTACTACGGATACAGGAGGTTTGTATTTTTGGCCAACCATGCTCCTCCCCCCCCCCCCCCA